TGTTCTAGTTAGCTTCTCCATTTTGTTTGTTTCTTTGATTGGTAGGAAGTGGGCGGATTTGGTTAATATTTCGATGATTACCCAGATAGTATCATGACCACCCAATGTCTTGGGCAATTTGGTGATGAAATCTATTGTGATTCGCTCCCACTTGCACTTAAGTATTTCTGGTTGTTGAAATAAACCTGGGGGCTTTTAATATTCTACCTTTACTTTGGCACTTGTTAGATACTTTCCCACATAGGTAGCAATATATACTTTCATGTTTGGCCACCAATAGAGTTTCTTGAGATCCAGATACATCTTTCTGAACCTGGGTGGTTGGAGTATCGAGTTTTGTGGGCGTAATTCATGACGCATCTCTGTAACCACCAAACTTTAGGCTCCAGATCCGGTCTATGAAATAGCGAACTCCGTCTCCCTTGATCTCAATGTTCTTCTCCATTCCCTTAAGGCTTCTTCCACCACATTTTTTTGGTTTTAAGGCTTCTAGCTGAGCCTCTTTGATTTGTGTGGGCAGATGAGAATGGATTGTCATAGTTAGTGTCTTCACCCTACGACATGAGTGCTCCTTTCGACTAAGGGCATTAGATACTAAATTGGCTTTACCCGGATGATAGTGAATTTCACACTCGTAATCATTAAGTAGCTCTACCCATCACCGCTGTCTCATGTTAAGTTCCTTATGATCAAAGATGTGTTGAAGGCTTTTGTGGTTGGTGAAGATAGTGCACTTTGTACTAATGTCTCTAGATTTTTAGAGCAAATACCACTGCTCCCAACTTGAGATCGTGATTTGTGTAGTTGACTTTGTGTGCTTTAAGCTATCTCAAGGTGTAAGCAATAACTTTTCCTTGTTGCATGAGCATAGAGCCTAGCCCCATATTGGATGTATCGAAGTATACAACGAAGTCCTTTGTCCCTTCTGGAAGAGACAAGATAGGTGCGCTGCACAGTGCTTGCTTTAAGTTTTGGAACGTAGTGTCTTGTTTTTCTTCCCAACTAAAGGTTGTACCCTTCTGAGTTATGGTCGTAAGAGGTTTGGCAATTCTGGAGAAGTTCTGTATGAATCTGCGATAGTAGCCAGCAAGACCCAAGAATTTACGAATTTCTGTGTGCGTTCTAGGTTCCAACTAAATCTCAATTGCCTTCATTTTGGAAGGGTCCACATATATGCCTTCTTCGCTAACCACGTGACTCAAGAAAGTTACCTTCCTAATCCAAAACTCGCACTTGGAGAATTTCACGTAAAGCTTTTCTGCCCTCAGTGTTTCTAGAACTTGTCTTAAGTGTTGACTGTGTTCTTCCTTACTTTGTGAATAGATAAGTATATCGTCTATGAATACCATCATGAACTTGTCTAGGAAGGGGCGGCACACTTGATTCATTAAGTCCATGAATACAACGGGTGCGTTGGTTAGACCAAAGGGATTTGATACAAACTCATAGTGACCATATAGAGTTCGGAAAGTTGTCTTAGGAACATCACTCTCCTAGACTCTTAATTGATGGTACCCTGATCTCAGGTTTATTTTTGAAAAGTAGCTCGCTCCTTGTAGTTGGTCAAAGAGATCGTCTATTCTGGGTAATGGGTAGCGATTTTTAATAGTGAGTTTGTTTAGCTCGCGGTAGTCTATGCACATCCAGAAAGATCCATCTTTCTTCTTCACGAACAAGACCGCAACTCATTTCTTCGTCCTTATAAGACACGCAGGCTTTTAGATATCGAGTTTGGTTCGGGCTAAATTCGAACTTGGTCCAAAATTTATACCCGGAGTATTTAATGATGTAGTTGTTAGTTGGAGGGGGTAAATCACATTCTATACTCGAGTTTTCTCTAATTTTTTCGCTTATCTTCACATTTTAGGGTTTCTTTCCAGATTAGGTTTCTTCTTGTATTGTTCATCTTATTCTCTAAATTAGTTATGATTCTTTAGTTTTATGTTCTTGTTTGATAGAGAGTGATTTTGTAACTGATGTTTCAGTTGTTAGTTTGTAAGTTCCTGAAAACCAACTAGATCTTATCGAATCAATAAAATATATGTTGATGTTGTGATCTATTTTATGTTTTTTTGACACATTTGTGGTGTATATGATCACGAACCACGACCGTGCACACTTTCTCGGTGTGTCATCGTTGGTCATGATCATGGTTATCTATTGAGCCCAAGACGAGTTACAACAACTAATTCCCTTGACTATGCTAACGTCTATTTTGGATTTTGCCTAATAATCCCTATAAATACCAACATACACCTTCTTATATTTCATACAATACCTCTCCACCTTTATTCACTTTCATACATGTGCATTGCTTGATCTTTCTAAAATCATGGCTCTCAAAATGTTGAAATGATCAGAAGAGGAAGAATAGAAGTTAACACTAACATGAGTGTTAGTTTCGGAAGATAGAGATACTCAAATGTCTAGAGGTTTTTGGGAAAGACTTCGAAACATTTTCTTTGGTTTAATGGATTTTACAAGTCGAAATATGTTCGAAGTGGTGCGATATGAGGGTAACATGTTGTGAGTTCAATAAAATTTACAACTTTGGTATAAACCATGTACATAAAGATGATATTGATCCAATTAATGTGGCCATGGATCAATATGAAAACATGAACAACAAACATTTTGTACATCTCAAAGTTTGACAAAAGTTGAAAAATTCTCCAGAGTGGAATAACATTGTTTAAAAAAATTAAAATGGGGGTCAAACGTAGTTTTTTGTGTTTGAATTTTTATGTTTTTTTTTCTATTTTATTTTAAGCATTTTTTTCTACATTAATGATAGTTTTATTGAATAAAAACTAGTTTAAAAAATACATGTTTTTTTTTAATTAAATTTAACTAAATAAATGAGGTGGAGTGGTGTGTTTAGTGGTAGATACCCTATGGTTTTAATCATAGGTTATGGTGATAATGTAACAGAAAATATAATGATTAGTAATGGATATTGTAAATGGTCTTAATGCATCTATACTCTTAGGTGCTGTTTGTTTTTCTAAAGTCAAAATGTTTGTAGTTTGCGGACCACATATGCAAGCCTTTACAACAGATGAGGTGAACCAAATATCTGCAGTATGCAATAAGGAGACTATTTGTTTTTTAATGTATGCAGGTTGTTGAAATAAAAAGAATTTTAAATAAAATGATTTTACAAACTTAAAATGATTTTTCAACACCAAAATTTTAATAATAATAGTCATACAACACTAAAAATAAAATTCATACAACTAAATTAGTCATACAATAAAAAAAATTGGTTTTACAATAACAATTTCATTTAAACCAATTCAATCTATATTGTCCATCAACTGCTCAACAATTTCATCCCGTAACTGAGTCATATATTCACGATCTGTTGCAGTACCATGTGTTGGAATCCCGCCTTCATCATCATCAATAGCGACATTGTTATTTCGAAACGAGACATTGGGTTCATCGTATCGCGCGAAATAATCATCACTCAGTCCTTCTCTCCTTATAAAATTATGAAGCGCGAAACAAGTCATCACAATGTTTCTTTGTGTAACAATCAGGAATGATGTCATCCTCTTCAATATAGGGAAGCGTGCTTTCAAAACACCAAAAGCACGCTCAATGAAATTTCAAAGTTTTTCATGTCCATGGTTAAATTTTTCTTTACTAGTCAATGCACGTCTTTGACGAAAATCTCCAAGATAATACCTCACATTACGATAAGGGGCCATAAATCCTCGAGTGTGTGTATACACAGCATCACAAAAATAATATTTGTCTGTAAAAAATGCAAAACACTAATCAATTTTCAAACTAAGATAAAAATATTTAAAAAAAACTTGCCTTGTGGTGGAAACGGGAATTATGCTTGTGGATCGGCTAATGCTTATGTTAATATTCTAGAGTCATGCGCTACCCCTTCCCACCCGGCCACAACAAATGTAAAAATCATACTGAAGTTACAAATTGCCAATACGTTTTGGTAGCAATCTCCATTTTCCCTAATTTTATATAAGTCTTGTTTCTTCGCAAGGATAACAACATGTATCAAAGTGCCATCAAGTCCACCAACCGCCCCTTTGAAAACCCATCATACCCTCCTATTATGTCTTGGAATGTTTGGATTCGGATTAAAAGAAGTCGATACTATAATGCCTTGTGCGAAAGCATCATTTTTTCCAACACTTCATAAAAAAAATTATGAATTGTTTGCTTCGAGTGTTGAAATCACCGCTTGATAATCACGTAACATTGATTATGGTCGACCATCATAAAAAACATAGCCATCTTTTCCTCAACCGATACATGTTTGTTGTCCTTTAATGAGTAATTTGCTCTAAAATGAGTACATAGTCGTACAAAAGAGTCACGGGACATGCATAGTACTTCAACACATTGTAAACGATTATGATGTAATAACTCTAATGTGTATTCATGTCCCGTCATTTCCGAATCATTATCCCGCAATCGTTTCACACCCCTCTTCCAAAAATAATGGATGTACAGGTACATAGGAATTACGACAAATATCTTTTGATCGTGATCCATTATCAACCTAAAATCAACAAAGTATAACTTTAAAAAACATTACATTAATCATATTTCAAGTAGCAAAAAACATTAAATAAACTGTATTTCAAGTAGCAAAATAACACTACATTAACCATATTCCAAGTAGCAATATAACAAAAATAGTTCCAACAAAGGCAAAAAGACCTAAGAAAATAGTTCCAACAAAGGTAAAAAGACCAAACAAATAGTTTCAACACAAGAAAAGTCATCGGACAATCTTTCCATCCTTCAAAACTCCTAAACTTGCACCCATCATCTCAAGCCATCCTCGTAATATCTCGGTAACATCGGGAAAATGCATCCACATCTCTCTCATGTTCATTGTCCCTCCAAAAATATGATATGCAACAAAGCATGAAGGATATGTAGGGCCTAATTGAATCACCTCTAACTTCTTTAAACATTGAGGAATTGTATACCCTTTAGTCAAACTTTATAGAGATTTTTTATTCAAATGCTAAATCGTCAACAATAATAGAAGTTCCATCAGGTGAATAAGTAGATGGTGAGGCACTAGGAGCTATAGGAGTTGAAGGTTTAGCCCTTTTGTTGGGGTTACCGGATGATGAAGCAGTATATGAGGAAGCATCAGAAGGTCGTGGCTCATGATGGGAAGTGTCATCACCATCATCATCTATTGCAAGAAATGAGGTGGCGGTAATCTGAAGTGGTGGAACACGACAAGAGGATGCTCCAACTACTGATGATGATTGGGTTGAGTAACTCCTAAAATTACCAGTGACACTATTTCCATCAAAAATACGTGCATAAAGATCTGGAAAAGGCAGTGGAATTGTTCTGAATGAAGCAGCCTTCGGATGCCCCTAAACCCAAATGTAACAAAAAATAGTATAAGAATATTTGAGAATTGTATATATCACTAGTTTTGTATTTTAAATATATCTATCATGTGTATTTGGCTTTCAGATTGTCATATGTGTTTTTCATTTGTTTTTTACTCAACTTAACTACAATTTTTTCCTTATAAACTCTTCCAAGCCTTATCCATGAATCTTTTTACAAACTCAAATCCTTTTTAACCAACACCCTCTAGTTCTTCAATACAAGTATTCAATAAGCATTTTAAATGCCCATTCCATTATTTTATATTTCCAAAATCAAATAACGATTTTTAGCACATTCAACAACAATTTGAGACAATAAAGAGTATTTCAGCAAAATCACACAATTCACATAATTATTTCATAATTCTAAAATAAAATAATGATTTTCAGCACATTCAACAACAATTTTCAGCATATTTATCAACAATTTGAAACAATAAAAAGTATTTTCAGCAAGAATCACAATAGTTACAATATTATTTCATATTTCTAGCACAAATTTCATATTTTAATCAAGAAAAAAGTTTGATTTCAACACATTCTAACAACAATTTCAACAAAAAAAAATAGTATTTTCAACAAGAATCACAACCATTCAAGCAAAAAAAAAAAAAATCAAACAATAGTTTCACCAAATAACGATTTTCAGCAACATTTAACAAGATTTTGAAGCAAGAAAATATATTTTCTTCAATATTTTAGGATTTTCAATATAAAAAAACTAGAATTTCTATGCATTAGAGAGTTTTACAGTAAGATTAATCCTCAATTTTCATGTTGGAAGTGAAAAAAAAAACGATTAGAAAAGGTAAAAACCTTTTCGTCTGGACGTTTGCAATCGGAGACGAGGGCGGAGATCTGAGAGGATGGCGGGGATGGGCGGTGGTGATCGGAGGTGATGGTTGACGAGTGGTGCCGGAGTGAAGATGGAGCAAGAGTTCCGCCGACGATGGAAAATTTGGACGAATGGAGGCAGAAAAGAAAATAAACACGTTTTTTTAGGTTAAAGTCACTTCGCAGACTTTAGAAGATGATGACTTATGTCTGTGTGGTGAAGACCTCACGCAAACCTTTTTATGTCTGTTCACTTCAGAAACTTTTTATATCTGTGCACTTCAGAAAAACAAACGCATTGCAAACCTTTATGTCAGTGCATGGTCTGCGCCACGCAAACAGTAGAGATCACACAAATTTGCAGAGAAAAAACAAACACCCTCTTAGTGTGAACTACCCTTTATTAAAGCTTCCACCGATGATTACAAAGAATCTTCAATAAAGATTCATTTGCTTCTTCTTAGACTATCACATCGGTAAATATTTTGCATGTTTGATCGGTTAAGGGGAATAAAAACAAAGTAAAATTGATAATAACAAGCGACTGATTTTTAAATCTCCTTAATATCGAACACAAGTTTTGGAGTATTTTAATCTATATATGGTGTACGTGGTAGTTTTTTTTATTGAAGAAGTGATTTTTTTCTAAAATAAATATATTATTTAAAACTCTAACAAGCCAAAAACCATTTATTTTCAAATTTGATTTTGTTTTTTCTATGATGGACTGTATTTTTAATTTTTTTTATCTAATATGGAATAACAACCACAAGACGACGATAATATAGTATTTCTGAATAATTCTCTAAAAAATAAAGAATTTGTTTTCCGCTATAAATTTTATTTATTAAATTAAAAAATTATTTTGGTTAGGTTGTTAATTGGAATGAAAATTTGGATTGGGATAATGACTTAAAAAGGTAACAAAGTTTTAAAATATTCAAAAAAGACCATTATGTTTTTTTAGTACACAAAATATCATTTTACCGGCTATTGTAGGTAAAGAGAATAGTATGTTTTTCTGTATCTTGGATCAGGAGAGTACAAGTGTATATATACATGGATACCAAACTGACAGAGAGTAAATAACTCCTAACCCTCAGGAACTAGTTACAGACTATTTCAAATTTACATGTGTTAAATATTGTGCTATTATCCCCCGGCAAGCTGAACAGAAGGATGGACTTGAAGCTTGGAATTAAGAAAACAAACTATATCCTTTCCTAGAGGCTTTGTGAAGATATCTGCAACTTGATCAACATATGAAACATAAACTATCTTCAATGTGCCTTCTTCTACTTGCTCATGGATGAAATGAAAGTCCAATGCAATGTGTTTTGAACAAGTACTGATAACTGGGGTTTTGCTCATGAAAATAGCCCCAACATTATCACATAATAGAAGTGGTGAGTGAGTGATTGGTGCTTGAAGATATGCTATTAGTTGTTTGATCCATAACAATTCAGTAGTAGTATAAGCCAAGGACCTATACTCAGCTTCCGTACTTGATTGAGCCACTACTTTTTCTTTCTAGATGTCCAATTAATTAGATTTGAACCATGAAATATAGCAAAACCATACTGAGAACGACTATCATCACGATCTGAATTCCAACCTGCATCAGAATAAGCATGAAGAGCGCGAACTGTAGTGGGTTTGAAGTGAAGACAATAATCAATAGTCCCTTTTAAGTATCGAAGTATACGTTTCACTACTTGCCAATGTCTAGTTGTTGGAGCATGCATAAAGTAACAAACTCTGTTAACCGAGTAAGCAATATCAGGATGTGTGATTATTGCATACTGAAGAGAACCAACTATCTGTCTATACAGTTTTGGATCTTCAAATAGGTCACCTTCTAATTGAAGACGATGATAAGGATCAACCAGTGTCGTCATCGGAGTTGCCATCGCTATGTTACTTTTGTTTATCACTTCTTGTATATAAGCTTGTTGAGAAATTTGGAGACTATCTACATGTCGATGTATTTGAAGACCAATAAAATAATGCAAGTCATCCAGATCTTTTAGTGAGAACTGTTGATTCAAGGCATTGATAAAATTCTGAAGGTGAGATGTATTTGTGCCTGTTACAATTAAGTCATCCACATACACAAGAACATAAATAGTGGAGGTAGATGAAATACGCACAAACAGAGATGTATTAGACTGACACATTCTAAAACCATTTGTAACCAAGTATTGCTTTAGTTTTGTAAACCAATCTCTTGGAGCTTGTTTAAGCCCGTAAAGAGCTTTGTGTAATCGACATACTGATGGGTTTTAGTCATAAGACATCCTATGTGCTCATACAAACCCTAATGCTTGGATCTAGGTTTCTCTATTGTACATGCTTTGAATCCAAGACTATAAACCCTAATTCTAGCATGCAAGTAATCATATTAACATGTAATTAGGTTTAAGATCATACCTTGATTGTTATGTAGCAATAACAATCCCAATTCCTCATTGAATTGACTTTGGAAGGCTTAAAGTCACAAGTGTCACTCCTCTAATGGCTTACAAACACCATAAGCAAGTGGAGAAGGTATAAGGAGAGAGGTGAGAGGTTAGAATTCGTATCTAGGACCTCTTGGGAAGGGATACACGAATTCATGACCCTAGGGGTGTTTATATAGGTGTAGAGATATGGTTTCAGTCATTATCCTTATCTAGTTGATTATCCATTAAGCAACCAATAAGATAATCCTTGAATCCTTATCATACTCGAATTCTAAGGCTTTCCAACCTTAAATTCGTCCACCATATAAATAAGATAATCCTTACCTTATTTTGTAACTATCACATAATTACAAATCAGCCCCTCTAGTTTAATTAATTACATTTGATCACAAAACTAATTCTTAATTAATTATTGACCAATATTAATTAAACAAATATGATTTCTCCTTTAATATATTATTCTTATAACATATTAATAAATCATATTATCCTCTCTCTCTTTATTCATTTCTCCAATCAAGTTGCTTTGGTGAAGGCAACCCAAAAGGACCATGCACCATCGGGTCAAGTACATACCAAAATAGTTATGGACTTAGACACTAATCCAACAGTCTCCCACTTGGATAAGTCTAACAACTATTCTGCGTATGACTTCAGATCCCGATCTGCAATCGTAGCTTTCCAAAGCCGCTGTCAACTATGATCATATCAGATACGCGTGTCCTTAGATAAGGGATCATATATTCCTCCATTCTAGATATCGTATGAGATATGATTTCTAATCATTCTCTTTGTACTATATCTCGATTTCCGATTTATGACGACAGACTAACTGAACAAATCAAATTAGCCCTAGCCCGGCCGAGCATTTACGTATGTCATCACTAAACCATCGAGGGGCCCAAAGATATCGCTTCTATCCTACCTTGGATAAAAGGAACGGATAAACTTTGATACAATGCTTGCTTGCACTCACTAACCAAATCACACACAACAATATGTTTTATAACACCAAGTTACTAGTGCGTTTACATATTATCAATGTGCAATCGATTAGCAAGATACAACTCACACATCTCGGTTTCAAGAATATAAGATGTTATCGTCTCACTAATCACTCGTGATACAATTCATGGAGTGATCCAAGTGAGCGTGGGTTTAATCCAATGCTCAAATCATATTCATAAGCACTCATGAACGTTGCAGCAAACATTTGCTTATGTCTAATACTCTTTTAGACAATCCACACACCAATTCACGACAGTCTTCATTCATATCTACTTCCAACATATGAACGACTGTGGCCCGTTTGAATAATTCGATTATTCTTAATAAACTCAATTATTCTGGAAGTCAAAACATGCAAGGTGAAACACAAGAATAATACTAATCCCATATGGCCTCAACCTTTGAGTATAAACAAAACACGTTTTATTTATCACCATATCGATTACTCATTATTTGTCGTTTCGGTAATCAACTTCTTACTTGAATTATTACACTTGTCCCATGCTCCTAGCATGCACACAATGTTTACCTATGGTTCTTACTTTTGTGAAATAGACAAATTGAACACATTTCCAATCATTCTCATTTCACAACTCCAAATCCATTTTCTTAAGTGTAAGAATATCAAATTCTTGTTACTTATAGAATATACTAGATTCTAACACTTTATGCAACGATCCTTTTGTAATGTCACTGCACCAAAGTCTCAAAGACTATTGCCAATGATATTACAAATTCCTCTATCGGAGATTGTTACAAGACAATTCCTTAGATATGATGTCTCTCACTCAAAGTACATTCCTTTGAACATCCTTTTGCATAAAAGTTTCTAATCTAGACATAGATTTTCAATATTTACTTCCCAATATGGACACGCTTCCATATTTTCCATATGATAACTAATTTCTTAATAGAATCTTATCTATTCGTAATGATGTCGATATTGTCCATCCAATATGGAAACATTTCTATAATTTCCAATACTATACTTCCAACTACTCACAAGCGACCAATTCTCATCGAACTTCGAATCGTCCTTTGATAGTTGTTTAATTATTTTAGTCAGAACCAATTCTAGTCCCTTTTCCCTCTAAATGCGCTGGACATTTGGAAAATTTTAGAATGGTCAAACATTAAATCATTTGCAATCGATCCTATACTCGAAGCGTATGGGACACAATGCATAATGTTTTATTTGCTATGTTCTTAAAATTCGAATTGTGAAGAGGAATGCCGTAATCATAATTGAAATTTTAAGAACACACTATGTACCCTTGACTAAGTTTATTAACATTTCACAACCTAATCCTTTAGATTTGAAATGAAGCATAATATTCTCTCCCTTAATTATAGCAAAACAACCTTTCAACTCTTACAACTTTGCAAAGTATGACTCTTGTTTTCTATAATTAATATTGCCAACTATGCAATACTTGCCTTAATAATCATACAATCATAACATTTATGCTCCCACTATCATGATGATTATTATAAAACATAACACTTATGCTCCCACTAGCTTCGAGATGTATTCATAAACATCTTAACTTCCAGAAAGACAATACCTATTGAATTTCTTAAGTCCATGTTTTTAATACTTAGTGCTTTGATAATCTTTTATCAAGACTTCTTGAACTTATACACTTTTGCCTTAGATAGTTCATATGTGTGTCTTAACAATTAATACTAATTGCCAAACCTCACAATTCAAATTATGGAAAGGGATGCCGTAACCATGATCGAATTCGAGAATGCAATTTTACAATCACTATCTTTTAAAATCTTTCTTAGTGAAAGCATTTTCTCACAATCATTTTCATGAAGGAGGAAATCTTATGACACTTAGATTTAAACGGTGTATGTGTTCCTATCCATGTGAATTTGTTAAAACCAAAGTTTACGACAAATTCAAACTCATATGGATCGAACTTCCTTTAATCTTGATTTCTTGCCTTATGGTAGCACAGCTGCCCACCACGTCTTCCAAGTAGTTAAGCATCTTACCTTTTTCCTATCAATGCACCTTTCATTGATCAAGGTCCTTGCCTTTTACGCATTCAAATGAGAACTCATAGGACTCACATGCATAATTAACTCGATTGGATTGGCACAGAAACAAAATAATGTCTTCACGATAGGTTGTAAACCTCAACTCGTGTGCTAGTGATGATCGATAAGGTTTATTTGATTTGTTCTTGAAACTTTTCGAGACCATTAAGACTCCCACTGACTCCTTGACATATAAGATTCTTTTGTCAATAAACATTTCTTGACAAACAAATTTTCAAGAGTTAGTGTAGCTTGTATCAAAACACTTCATAAATTGGTCATAGTTGGTCTTTGTCTTATCCAAGACATCACAACTTTCCACATTTGATGAATGTTATAAACCTTTGATACTTTTCACTCATTGTCACAATCTTAACTTTAAGACTTGTTATTGGAACGAAGTATGATTGTCTTCTTGATTTGACCATTTCATCAATCTTTGATTCCTCTTCTTGGACATACAATTGTACCAAGACTCACTTAGAGGATCAATTGAGATATGGTTCTTAATCATTAAGACCTATCATAAAGCATAAAAGCTACTCTCCCTTCTTCTTAGAATGGAGAAACTCTTATCTTTCTGCCTACTTGATTCTTCTTATTCGTTTTGCTATTGATCTAAACCCTTTAATCAATTCAAAATTACACTTAATCTTGTAAGTGTAATCATATTTACTAAGCCTTTAGTAAATCATGACGAATATCTTTGTTACTCTTATGGTGAACTCGATCAACACACAACTTTGTGTACTCGATCTCCTAGTCCTTCATTTGACATTTCCATAAAT